CGCAACCTGGACTTTTTCCACTCGTACGTCGCGTTACTCTGACTGCGGCTCGAAATCGCTCGTCAGTGACGATTCTTTCTAACCCTGAAATGTACAGTGACTAGTGAGCAGGAAGGGCCGCCTCATGTCGCGGTTCTCGTGAACTCTCCCTCTCGACCGCGGAGAGTTTGTGCTTAATATAAAATTGGTTTAAAAAATCTATAACGTCAAAGAACTTATTCTGTTACTTGGTTTAATCACTGGTCTGAGAAATTGGGACTGCAGTTCCCCTTTGAGTGGCCATCCTCGGTGACTCGCCATTAGGGAAAACGCAGATTGCTCCTCTAGGTGAAAAACAAATGTCAGTGTCAATCAGCAAAGACGCATTCGTGAAGTACACGTGCGCAGGCCACCTCCAAGGACAGAATTAGGTCTCCTGTTTGAATTGATAGTGAGCCACCGAAGATGGCCAATTTTAAAGTCGCTTGTGCAGGTCGGCTGTCGCGAACCGCGGCTCCCCGAAGCGGGCTCTTGGCGTGACCGCAGCCGTTGACCCGCCCGCCTTGCTCTGCTCTGCCCCCAGGTGGCCGTACGCGGGAACTGCGGCCGCGGTGAAGGAAATGGGCTGCAAGCACGTGAACAGGGACGTGGGGGAGGTGCACGTGGACGCGAAGAACAAGCTGGTGACCACGAGCGCCTTCATGTGCAACGCGCCGCTGCACCAGATCTTCGACGGGATCGGCGTCATGGTCGCCGACGTCCTCAAGATGGCCTAGAGCCCCCTGGACCGGAGAGCTCGGGGGAGGCATGAGAGAGGCGTTACAGTGGTGGTTTGAGGAGGTCACGCCCCCCCCCGTGGAAGAGTTACCCCAGGGGTGTACAGTTTCTTACGCCCTTGGCTGTTAAATCGCGTGTTGCTGTGTTTTACACCCTGATTGGCTCATCCTGGCTTTCTCATGTTCCTTGGAATGCTCCTGCTAGGTAGGGGCCACGCCCTCCATCAGCCTGCTCCAAGTGGAGTGTCTTTGCAGTGTCGTGTACAAGCTGGGCATTGAAACGAGGAGAACTGATTCAGAGGGAGGGGTAAAGGTTTATTCCATGCTGAATGGAGAAGGAAAGAGACACAGCATTTTGGTTGTGGGGCCTTCTCCAGGCGTGACACTGTTATGTTCGGACAGACGCAGCTACCCCTCGAGTCTGAATAGCAAAATAGTACGACTTCTGAAGAAGTGTTGTTTCTTTTCCTTTCAGCACAGAATAGACCTTTACCTGTTCCTTTGTAGCTTATACCTGCTAAACGTAAACTGATTCAGATGCCATGTTTGTGTTACCCCTGTGTGTGTATTTAATGTGTGAGTTTTCTGTCATTGTTCAATAAAACGAAAGTGAAACTATCGGTGAATTCATCCCGTCTGATTAAATGTGTTGATTAAATATGGTTTAACTGATACAATTCAGATTCATTTTTAAATTGATTAAGTATGGAGGTCACTGTTCTCCTTTATTAACTGCTTGGTTATTTCCGCCTTGCAAATTGGCACCTTGCTGCTAAAAGGAGCTCAGACTTCCTTTGTTTCTGACGGCCAGGGTTTGTACAGGGACCTGTTCCAGGCTGCTATAGTGACAGATCAGCGCTCCTGACTGGCTGCATGGTGCCATTGCCTCTTCCTGGTTAGCATTCTGAGTTGACACAGCAGCAACGTTTCTTTGTTGGCAATGTGTCTGGAGAACAGGCCGTGCCCACTAACTATGGAGACATTCTTACAACACCTGCACACATGTTCCTTGACTGAGTGCAGGGAACCTGCAGAACTACAAACCAGCAGGGCGGGCATTTCTTCCCTATTTTGTAAGGATGGAAAGCTGGTGCAGAAACAAGGGAACATATCTGCTATAGTACAAATGACTCCTCTTTTGATGCAAGCCAAACTACACCTCTACATAGCTGCTGTATCTAGTCACTGTTATGGAACAGGAACAAGGTCAGATTTTGTGTGTTAAAACCAATGAACATGTTTAATTTTCCTTCTCTTTATAAAGTATCACAGTAACACAAATATTGCTCAATATACAGGTGGCCCAAAAAGTGCTCTGATTTTGATCATATTTTCCAGAGGCATGAGAATCACACCGGCAAACAGTGTGGCCTGGGAAACAGCTGTGTGTGTTTGTGGGATTTGGAAAGTTTGTGTTGTCAACCTCACCCTGCTGTGTAAAAGAGATTTGGAATCTCATCTGACTTCCTAGCATCTTGTAAAATCCACCTCAAGGTGCAGTATGGAAAACACAAGATACACTGCAAAATCAAGCTACAATTGTACAGGCTAAATTAAGTGCCGGTTTGAAATATTTTTTTTGTGCATCCAAGGAAGCATTGAGTCACTTCATTTGGAGGGGAGATCCAGAGTTTTGAGCCATATCGCATATTGTGAACACAGAACCCAAGAAGTGTTCTGGCCAAAGAAGCCAATTTAATGCAATACTTGAACTTGATGGAATTCAGCAGGAAGTAAAACCATCAGGCCCACCCTTTCCATCGCAACAGCTGAAAGCTGAAGCCCAGGCCAGGACACTGGAGATCAGCCCTCTTATATTAACCCTCAGGACATTCTAATTACTGTTATTGTTACATTTATTAAACCACTACCTGGAGGGTCAGGCTGCAGTGTGCGATATGAGGAAGTGAAAATATGTGAGAACTGAGATTTAACAGATGCTGGTAGGAAACCTCCGGCTTAGAAAATAACTCGCGAAGATAATAAAACTCATGTTTGCTCGATTATATTGGGTCAGTAAAGACAGAAGAGCATCTCGAGAATGGCAGGGGATATCGCTGCTTTTATAAACAGTGATACGCGACAGCTGAGCCAGTAAATGTCACAAAGCAGCAGTAATAAAAATGAAAATGATAGGACGAGATGCTTGAAGGAAAGTGCAGTTCTCATCTGAACCATCTGAGGTCACTGCTACCCTACTCCTGACACGCTGTGTGATCACGTTCGAGTTAAATTCCTGCACTAAAACACTGGGGGTCAGTCTGATTCTGGCTGGGCACTCTTGTTGTGCCTCCACATGTACCCACAGAAGGATATAAACATGGCTTCAAAGTCAAAACTGGAAGACAATACCAACACAGTTTATTTTCATGCAGGAAACAATAATCATTTGGACAGTGGTGTGGCTCTCATTATGCAAACATCATACAAGCCACAAAGGCCCGTGCAAAAGCCTGTTCTTCATCTCAGCTCAGCACAGTGCAGCTGTTGGCGTGCTGCTTGGGAAGTGTTTGAACTGGTCTCTTCCAGACACCAGGACAGTGGCGGGGAAGTGGCGCGGGCGATCAGGATCCTGCCAGGAAGGGAAAGGTGCAGCTCAGACATTGGCAAAGTCTTTGTCACAGTCTGGACTTCTGCACTATGCAAAGTGAAATGCAGATGATCATGTACAAAGCGGAGGTACTGTGACGCTCACATGTAATGCGTTAGGGCCCTCAGGGACAGGGAAGTTGGAATTGTTTGGTTCCAGTGAGGGACAGTCACTCACCTGCACAGGAAAGGCGGACGTGGGGACAAAGCGGATGACAAATCCACAGCGCCTCCTGCTGGATGTGTTGGGCTCACTGCCATGCACCAGCAGCCCATCATGCACCTGCAACAAAGGTCATGGGGTTAAAGGTCAGGGGTTAGAGCAATGACACCCACAGTGACATATTAAAGCACAAACACCAATGCACCAATGAAAAACTACTTATCCCCTATATCCTCTTCTCCTCAGCCGAGATTTGGGTTTGTTCTCTGAAAGCAAAGCCTGCAGCGACACTTACAGACATCTGCCCAGCCTGCAAGGGACAGAGCTGAGCGCTGTCAGTCAGAAGAAGATGTTCTGGTATCTCCTGGTTGGTAGACAGCATGTTCCCAGAGCGTGCCGAAGACTGGTGAGGCAGAATCCCCAGGGTGTGGCTGCCTGTGGGCAGAGTGATGTCAAACAACGAGCTCAGCAGACAACTCGCAGAGCTTACAACCCCCCAAAATCAAAACCAGAGACGGGAGAAACCCTTTTGACCTCAAAGCATTCAGAAATGAAAACAATCAACCTTCATAATCACTTCAAAATGAATCACTGGCATACAGGTCAACACAAACCAACTGCAAGACCGATAAACCTGAAACCTCGGACCCAATGTCTTAGATCGCAGTACCTGGGATGACCTGCAGGGCTCCGTTCTCCCTAAAAGAGTCATCCAGAGCCAGCCACACCGACAGCACTGGACCCCCAGCCACGCCCCAGTACCTGCAACCAATCACAGCAAGGTCACCACTGCACTAAAACTCCCATGAAGCTCAGCACACACGCCCTGGTTATGTCTTGTCCATCACAAACTGGGTGCTCTTGGCTTATATCTCATTTCTTTCCTTTGCAGGACTTCAGACCCACAGAAACTTAATATTATCCTAACTGACCTATGAATATTTACTGACCCTAACGTTTTAGTATTTATGTACTTAAATATTTCAATATTAATTGGCACATAGGCTGGTACAGAACTCAAAGAGCCAAGGCTGCCTATCCTTGCTCCCTGTTGTAGAGATCACATGGGACCAACCTAATGTCCTGGTGCCAGGCCACAAAAGGGAGGTCACTGGTGCCCTGCTGCTCAGAGGGGGAAGTATTGAGTTTCCCACAGTCTACACCGGGGGTGCTGCTGAGTTGCTCTGGTTTGCTGTCAGAACGGTCACTCTCCTCCCCTCCTCCAGGACTGCTGTGTGGGGCCACAGGGTACTTGCAGATGAAGCGGGAGTCGAGCAGGATGACATCGGGTCCCAGAATGGCCTTGACCAGCTCCAGTACCTTGGGGTGCGTGGCCAGGTCCATAACCCATCCATACTGCAGGTGGACATTGTGCAGGCTGTACTGAGCATACTCTTTCCCTGTACAAGGACACACAACCACCCCATCACATGTGCGCAATGAAGCTTACCAATCAAACCGCCACCTGGCTTTTCTTCAATCCAAGTGTTCAATCTGAGACACTAGCAATTCAACTGGAAGAGCTCCTCAAGCCAGAATCAGAGAAAACAGCCTCAGTTTTCAGGGCCTCCAGGAAGACATTAAAAATGGCCCTGTATGATTAGGGTGTGGTACCACTGATCTAAAATATGTTCCCACAATTTCACCCCTTGAAAACAAAAAGAACCTACAGTGGGACAGTAATCGGAAACACTGCAGCGCTAACAGAACTGATCTGCTTGACCTGACTGTGCAGGGTGTGCACTGTGTTAGAGAGGGCCACTGGCCAGTGTTCCTGAATGACTGTAGTTGCAGTGATTGATTGGGTACCTTCTCTGGGGTGATCCTGATGGACGTACAGTGTCAGGCGAAGAGATCTTAACCACATGAACCTCAAATCAGACACTCTGCCCCCTCCCTGGGTGCCTCACTTACCAAACTCCCTCTCCAGCCTGCTGAAAGCCTCTCTGGTGGTCTCCAGCTCCTCCTGGTTCAGCACTGGCACCCCTGACACAAAGCCCTGCCGCCTGTAGGAGGCGCCCAGCTGTGCCAGCGAAGAGCTCATGTCTGCTTCCTCAGTGAACCTGCTGCTCCTTCTCTTCTGGACTCACGGCTTCTCTCGCTCCTGGGGCTCAGGGCTGGGGCTGAGCTGGATGCTGTGTGATTTTATATCCTGTGCTGAGTGACTGGGGGGAGAGAGACCAACCACTGACCTCAAGGATGATCGAGATACTGCTGCTTCTCTGCACCCTCCTTGACCGAATTCTTCTCAAAGAGAGGGGTATTCTGGGATGGTTATGGAGCTACAAGAATTATCAGACTCGTAAAGTGTGGCGGGGGCTGGCTCAGTGTTAAAACCATCCTACTTGCAAGAACAACTCGACTCCCCCCCACTAGGGAGCAGTTAAACAGCAGTACTGTAAGAACAGAAACAACGCTCAGATTCAGGTCCCTGCTAGTGGGACACAGGGCTCCAACTGACACCCAGATTGCAGCCAAAGTAACAGACATTGGCAGAGAAGTGAGCTGGGCCATTAAGCAACGTGCTGAAGGATCTGTTCAGCTGCTCTGTTCCCCCACCATCCTGCAGGATTTATAAGCCTTCTGGAACCTCTATTTGTTGGGAAAAGACTCAATCGTACTTAAACTAAGCAGTGCTACACTGATCTGAAAATACTTTGGGGAACAATAACCTTGAAATTGAAAAATTGAAAAATAAAAAAAACGACAAAAATGTATTTAAAAACAAATTTACCTGCAACTATTTTTCACCATTTTCATACAGTATATACAGTATATTGTAGGGCTTACTGCAGAGAAGTCAGAGCAGTCAGCCTCAGCTGTTCCATAACAGAACAACATTACAGACTTCTTAGAACAAAGCAGACAGAATAATCATAAAAACAGTCCTGATTTATAGCTGTACTTGAGAGCAGCAAACATTGCTCCCTAGAGTCCTCCTGACGAACTGGAAGTCTGATTGGTCGGCCTAATATACTAAAAGCTGCTTTCTCTGGTAACTGCCTGTGGGGACTCATAAATGGTTCTTATTTCCTTTTTTCACACATATACAATTATAAACAATTTGTTACAGACATAATACATTCCAATTAGTGTTTGTTTCCTACACGTATTCGTTTTGTATTTTTCCTAAAAACATGTTTAACTTAAATATTGTGATGTGATCGGAGTTGCTTACACACGGCGGGGGTCACCAGTACGCCTTCAGTCCACAAGAGGGCGCTCAGGAGGAAGTCCGGCGGCCGAACGGAAAGTGATCTCTTTAGCGCTGACCGTGTACAGCACAGTGGTTTTGCATAGACCTGGACAGTTAAAATCTTTTTAGTGAATTGATTCATCTGATTCAGTTCTGTTCAGCGAATCGATTCAAACGATTCGTTCATTTGATTCGCCAAGAAAAAATGCTTAAATTAGGCATATTCACTTAAGAACCTAAATGGAAAATAGGATGTACTGTAATGCACAATTGAGATTCCTGGTCGTGTTCATTCTTCCGCATGAAGAGATATGTGGTTTGAGAAACATGGTAATAGTTGTTGTAAAATGTCTGTACGAAATCATTTCTAGGGGCAACTGTAGCTGTTTGTCACGTACAGTTGTTTGCAGGGTGAAAGGCTGGAAAACATGAATACAATTGTAACTGCCAAAATATACTCATTGCATTATGCCGAATTAGCAAAAAAATCAGTTAAAGAAGTAGATTAGTTAATAAACAAGGCGAGAGCTTTTACAAACGCACGAACAAAGGCGAAACAATTAAAGAAAAACATCGAAAATAATAAATCAGTAACATGACACTTTATGAATTATTATTTCGAAACATATCAATTCAAGTTAAATCTGTAACAGTGAAATGATCGTGGAAAGCTAATAAAATAGCACACTATATTTGCCTACACTAGGGCATATTTGCATTTTAAGATGAAGATATACATCACATACACATTGTAGTATTGAAACTTTAAAACAGAAAGCAATACGTAGTCTGCAGATGTATCCGGTGTTTAGTACAATTATTGCAGTCTGATATAATTCGGGAATTTTTCCAAAGGCGAATCAATACAGCCGTCTGAAATACCCAGCCCTTAAACTGGCACACCTCATTAAGAAGAGGGGAGTGTGTTTTATTCACAGTTTGAAAGTGTTTAGATCAGAATACGCCCTGCGCAGACTCGCCTGGCTCGACGCTCGATTCCTCTCGTTGAGCCTAGTGACCTAGTGAAGCGAAAGAGCGCATCCTTCGGAAGCAGTGAACGGATCACCCGATTCACGAGTCACTGCCATGATTCAGAACGAACGAATCGTTCGCCAACTGCACAGATCTAGTCATGACATGGGTATCAAAGAGCGCAGCAATTTTACAAGTCCATTTCGATCCCTTCTCCACCTGGTCTTCTGCTATGAATCATTGCCAACAGGTTAAATGTAGTTTAATGCCTATATCCATCAAGACAAATGTATATAAGATACAGTTAAACAGACTGTTGGAATATTGAGCTTAGCTAATTATGTATTGGAGTTTTTCTCAGCAGTGTGAACCAAGGGATTTCACAATACATGGGAAAAAAAACAGTGTTCACACTATTATGTACAACAATTTTCAAGATTTATTATTTACAGTGCTGTGTATTCGTTTTCACTGTACCTATGCTTTAAAGAGGGTGTAGGGATGTTTTAAAATGTCCCAGTTCACGATGTGTTTTATTTGTTAGATTAAAAGCAACAGTAATTAAATGAGAAAGACTGTACCTCCGGCGATCCCTGGAATACCGACAGAGACTTGAAGTGCGCCCGCGGTTCGCCTGTCGCTCGGTGTTGTAACTTCCTTCACCAAGACGCTTCGGGTAAAGATGTTTTTATACGCGGCATTAAGTACTGCCCCCTCCCAGAGAGCGCGTTTCTGTTTCGGCGGGAATATGCAGTGTAGCAAAATGTAAATGATGCCTTACTTTTAAGACTATTAGAATGAAAAAAAAGGTGTAGTTAAACTGAAGTCTTGACAAAACACCTGAACGATTATGTTTAATGTAGGCAAATGCAGGGTTTTGCATACAGGTGGTAAAAAAATGTCTTTTCACATACCCCAGCTTGCTCTCCATGAGACACACAGACAGGGAGAGAAGCTGGGGCTCAGAGCACAGGGCCAGCCATTTATATGGCACCCCCAGAACAGCTGGGGTTAAGGGCCTTGCTCAGGGGCCCAACAGAGTAGGAATGCTCTACCAGCCACAGGATTCGAACCAGCAACTTTCCAGCCAGGGGTGTAGATCCTCAGTCACAGAGCCACCACACCGCCCCAAGTAAAACCTGTGTAAAGTGAACAATTATTAACAGTAGTAGTAACAATAGCAGCAGCACTGCCCAGCAGTGAAGAACCTGAACTCTCAGGCCTGAACCCCAGCCAAAATGCTCTTGCACCGGCAGGAGCTGAGTGTCCTGTGCTGCCTTCAAGGCCACTTGTACCCACAATTCCATTGCAGCAGCAGCAGAGTGCACGGAGCCCCTGCTGTTGCGTTAATTAGGGAGCTAATGGAATTCATTAAGGAGAGAATGCCTTCTCTTGCACGAGCTGATTTTTGCATGCCATTTAGTGGTCCACAGACCCCTCACAGACGCAGAATGAAAATACAGCCCTGTGTCCAGAGTGATTATTATTTACCTAAACTAGAATATAATACAAATAATAATTAGATGATTTAATTAAGAAAGATATTAGACACAAGCAATGATCAAGAGGGGTGGCTGCGTGAGAATATCTGATACTGCGCTTACACAGTAACAAAGCTGGAAGGTTACATAACTCACTTCAGAGACTCACTAATCTTTTAAGCAAATGTGATAAATTTGCTTGGCTTTGACTTGATTCTGCAGAAAATTGCATGTATGTCTGGAG